CAAAACGGCCCGACGAAATTGAAGTTGACGGCCGTTTGACCGGGTTTGACCCTTAATCACAGGATGCTGCGCCCTCCACAACCGCTTGTGGTCATTCAAAACTCCGCCTCCTGTTGTGCAAAAAAACTTGGGACTCGAGCTGACCAAGCAGTGTTGGCACAGGCCAGGCCGAGGGTCAAAACGGCCCGACGAAATTGAAGTTGACGGCCGTTTGACCGGGTTTGACCCTTAATCACAGGATGCTGCGCCCCTCCACAACCGCTTGTGGTCATTCAAAAACTCCGCCTCCTGTTGCTCACTTCCGCCAAAAATCCGGCCTGAATCCTGCTCTAGAATCGGCACTCCAAAATAAAACCCCGCCTTCATCTTTCAAATGGCGCCTTCATCCGACTTCATCATGCTCCCTATTCTCATCCCCAAATAACACGCCTTCATCTTTCTCGGGATAATTCCAAAAATCCGCTGGCTTCCAATCCCAGTGAATCCCAGTGATTGCCAGATATTTGTCACCTTCATCATGTCCCGTAAGGCAGGCCTTCATATGTGTTACTGCTCGGAAATTGGGACTTCCATGGCGAGAACACGGGTAACTGCTGGTACAATAAAGAAGGAAAATGTGGATCGCATCTCAACAGCGACAACATCTAGTCAATTTCCCACCGGATGCAAACACAAAATCCAAGATTCCTGGTGCTCCCTAATTGCAAACCTGAACAGAAAAATTCATGAGTTTGTTTTCATTACATAACTCGTCCCTTCATCTTGCCCCGACCTTCATCAAGCTCCCCAATTGCCGCCCCTCAAATGCGACCTTCATTCTTCTAATCGCCCTTCATATTTCAAGCCTTCATCTTGCCCGGTTTCCACATCCTGCTGCCTAATCGTTATTTCAATTTCAATTTTTTCCTCATTTTACTCGTGTCCTTTTCCCCATCTTCGTCTTGTTCAAGCTGCCTTCACCCACGGATTTTTTATTTTATTCACCGGCACCCGCGAAGCATTTCGCCATCTGGCCTGAATAAGCCGAGAAACAAACATCTCGACATCGCAGTGGGGCTGAAGGGAGGAATTCAACATTAGAACAAACTGTGGAGTGGATGAAATTAACGCTCCGGATCCGCCTAGCTCCACTTTTGTCAGACGACGGGTTTTCCGATACAGATTCTTTGGCCCCAAAATATTCAGAATACTCTATTCTAATGAGCTCCTCAGTGTATTTATTCACCGGCGGCCCATCGGAAGGGCCAGAATTCAGGACCGACTGTGGAGAGCCGGGCTCCACATTGACGCAACCCGTGTGCGAAGGGAAGAAACTGTGGAGCAGATGACATCGGCTCCCACCGGCACCACTTTTGTGTTGTGTTGTCGGGGACCGGAAGACGTCGCCTTCATGTGTTTATTAAGCCTTCATCCATCTGGCTTTTATTTCATTGGCCTTCATCGGTGTTTTGAGATTCAAGTTGAGAAACCAACACCTTGGCATCAAGAAAGTCATGATCTTGACATCGCAGTGGAGCCAGGTGCCGCAATTCAACATCAGACCCCGGGAAGAACCGGATGACATCGCCTACTCCACCTTGCTCCACTTTGACGTTTGTCTCTACCCACGTCGTTTGTTATATAGAAGCAGTAACCCGTGCTTCGCTACGGTCAGAACATTGTTCTGGAAAAGATTTCAGAGTCCTGGTGACTTCGAAAATATAAGACGCCGCTCGTCGTCAACCTTCGGTTGACTCCTCGTGGCCTCATGTACAGTACCAGAGTGAATCAAATAAAGCACTGGCCTCAATAGCAGGGTGTCCAGTTGTCACGTATCCTAAATGCTCCCTTGGCCAATACAGATATTCATTCACATCTTCTTCTCACGGCGGGTGGCCGACCTGGCTCCGACATATGCCACCTACCCCGATCACTGATGCCACCTCCTATTGGGATGCCGAACACTGTCTACTGGCTCCAGCTACTGTCAACCGATTCGGTTCGGAGCATCAGTAAAATTACAGCACAGATGGAGCCATTGGAGCGGATTCCCCGGCTGTCGGGAAAACTCGGAATCGGGATCCCCGCTCCACTCGCTCCACTTTGACGTTTGTCCTCGATACCCACCTCTTTTCTTATATAGACTAGCAGTTGCCCGTGCTACGCTACGGGATGTGAACAATGGCCAATTCAATGTTATGCATCATACTCTGAGGATCTAAGAAATCGAAGACGCCACTCATGGACAGTTTCAGAATCATGTTTCACAATCGTTCAAATCCATTGTGTGCGAAATCCTGCCCAAAAATTCCCCGGATGCTTTGCCTGCATTTGACGGGTGCAGGGTGTAGAACTTCATCTTTGCCAATGTTCAACCTAAAACAGAGGGCGTGGAATCCCATCACCCTTATGTAAGCAGCCATCAAAACGTTCCCACGGCCAAATCCACCAGTCGGCCAGAAGAAAAAAAAATTGCATCGGGCTGGGCCGGGGCGGGGACCAACCAGAAAGTCAATAACGAACACTATGTATGTTCCTAAGCTACCATGGAAGCTTTTATAGGACCCCCGAAAGTCACGCCAAATGCCTGTCCAAAAAATTCTGGTGCAGGGCAGTTTTTATCCGGACCCCAAATCGGGCAAATCCTATCCGAATTTCACCCGGGCCTCCACGGGGGTCGAGTTTTATCCGAATTTTTGCACCAGGCCTCACCATTTTTGTCGCTTCGGAACCTTCTGGAGATGTGTTTTTCCCAGCAAAACTAGGGGAAATAACTCGCAATGCGTGAGTTCGAGCCGAAAGCAATCCAAATGAGGACACGCAACATCTTGGTGGTGATCCTGCCAGATCTCGCTCTCCTGCCGCCTCACGGCTTGCTCGGCTGTCCGAATTCTTACCAGGGATATCTGTCGGCCGTCAGTTTTTATCCGAAAAATCGGCCAGGCATAACCCCCCTCGAACCCGAGTTTTCATCCGAATCTGACCAGGGGTTTACTATATTTGACCCCTTACCTGGCCACCTAAGCATTCATGCCTCAATCTCGATCTGTCCACTAACCCTACGCGCGCCTAACTGTGTCAGAACGAAGGCATGCTTCCTAGGAAGGATTCAAGACCCTAAGTTCCCAAATATCCCAACATTTGAGTTCACAGTGAATTTCTTTTGCGCGGTAGTACAACATGGTCAAATAACAGGCTAGTTGGCCACCCTGCTAAATAATGGCCTGAGCTCTCAAATATCCGCCACTTGCACTCTAAATTATAGAGGGAGATTTCATTGACTATCTCACACAGTTTTGGTGTATATATGAGGCATACGAAAGGTCAAAAAATCTGGTTCCGACCGATGTGAAACCCCAAAATCGGGGTTGTGAAATGAACGAGCATCCTCCAAGTAGAAGAAACACCTAGATGGGCCAAATTAAGATCCAGGCTGCTTAATAGGAAGTATTGGGATGTACCTGAGCCCCCAACTCTATTACAAGATGCTGGTAGCTCCTCCAAAAAATCTGACTATTAGCAAGACCGAAAATGGGTGGTTTGAGATAATGGCCTGTAGAGCTATCAGAGGTGAATGGATAAAATCTCGGAATACCTCTCAGAATGGAGGATTGGATAGTAAAAGTACTCTGTAAGATTCCAGACCGATAGCAGGGCGGTATCGTGTACCGCGACGGTGGCCAGCATGGCAGACCGACAAAAGCAGTCGTGCCTTCCTGAGTGCATAAAAGAGAGTCGTGGGACCACTGCTATCCAGTAGCATCAAAGGCAGAGGCCCCAGCATCGGGGGATCAGAACGAGGCCCAAAAGTCGTGGATCGACGAAGAAATGGTGGAGAAATAGCTACGGCAAGTGAGGCGATGGCAAGAAATTGATGTCCCCACGCCTCGGATTCCGATCCGCGATGCCGTGACTTCCGATCAACCCATCACTTTCGGCTGAAATTTGGTCTGGACCTTCGTTGGAGGTCGTACTCTGTTCGTATATCATGCCCAGTCATAATTACCAAGCCCTGGCCTTCTAGCTCCCAAGTGGCCAACTAGGTAGGGTGGCCAGGTAGGGGGTCTCAGATAGTACCCATTTTGGTCGAGTTTTTATCCGAATTGAAAATTTTGGTGGTCAGGCATTTGGGTTGATTTTCGGGGGTCCTGCTTTTATCTCAGAAATCTTCTTCTTCATCTAAATCAGATCCTCGCCTGATGACAAGGACATTCCTCTTCCGGAGGTCGTCGACCGTGTTCTCCGTGTTCGGGTACGCAATGCTGCATGCCGGTATGTTGCCAGATGTGCATTTCAAGCTGAGGGTGAATCTGGGCTCTCTGCGGCGGATGCGGAGGAGGACATTTGGGTGTATCACCCCCAGGGCCAGCTCTGGACTAAGGCCCGGATACCCGCGGAGGAAAAATGGAGCCCCGAGGATGAGAACACTGGCGACGATTATTACGAACCTGGGGACGACGATTAGAGACTTTAAGACTTATAGTGTTTTTTTTTTTTTTTTTTTCTGATCTTTTTAAATGTCACGATTACGACGTCTAGTTTGAAAAGTGGGAAAAAAGGGTTTGAAGGATTTATCACCCGGCCCCGGATCGAACGGCATGAAAGGGGTTGCTTACAGTCCCCGTTAGCACGTGGTGTGCACCCGCCCTCGGTGCTTTGAGTTTCAGGTGCGTAGTTTGGCAGGAGGTCCCGTTCGACTCGGGGTCGGGTCATTACGTGCTGCAGCGCGCATTTCTGTTCAGGCGCCTCTTTGAACTCGACGAAGAGATTTTCCAGAGCGCCTCCGAGTAAGTAGATTCATTCTTACACAATCAAACTTCTGTCGATCGTTTTGTCTTCCCTTTCCTCCCAAACGTGTATGATGTCAACCACACTACAGGCCGGCAGCACACTGCGTGCGCCTCTACCTCATCGCGTGACGGCAGAGAGAGTGCCGGTGGGAAGCCCACGTTCCCTTTCCGCGCAAAATGAAAACGGCAAAGTAGAACCTACGAAAATCTGCTCGCAAAGAAGTAGAAAGAAACCCGGTGGCACAAGGTGTGTGCCTGCCTTTGTTTGTTGTTGAGGGAAAACAAATTATTCGCAGGAGGACTCTGTTCGATTCGGAGTCGGGTAATGTCGATGTTTCTCCAGTGTTTTTTCGGCGCCCCTGTGGAATATACAACCTGCCCAAGAGGATATTCCAGGCATTGCATATCTTCTGGATCGCAACACTTCTGCGGACCGACCCCGGGACCGACCGCCTGGAGATAATCAAGCCTCATGATATCGCTTCTCTCCCATTCCTCCCCATAGCTAACGTGCACAACTCCGGCACCGTTGCAGGTGTAAGAACACTCGGTAGCAAATGCCGTGCACTAGCCCCTTCTATGCTTGGGCAGGACCGAAGGAGCTCCCCGTTCGATCCGGGGCCGGGTGATAAATCCTTCAAACCCTTTTTTCCCGCTTTTCAAACTAGACGTCGCAATCGTGACATTTAAAAAGATCAGAAAATTCCGAAAAAAAAAAAAAAAAACTACAAGTCTTAAAGTCTCTAATCGTCGTCCCCAGGTTCGTAATAATCGTCGCCAGTGTTCTCATCCTCGGGGCTCCATTTTTCCTCCGCGGGTATCCGGGCCTTAGTCCAGAGCTGGCCCTGGGGGTGATACACCCAAATGTCCTCCTCCGCATCCGCCGCAGAGAGCCCAGATTCACCCTCAGCTTGAAATGCACATCTGGCATCATACCGGCATGCAGCATTGCGTACCCGAACACGGAGAACACGGTCGACGACCTCCGGAAGAGGAATGTCCTTGTCATCCTCGATTTGATCCGATTCTTGGTCTTGCTACGCTGGCGGAAAGTCATCGCTGTCCGTGATCTCGATATCCGGGTCAATCCCAAGGTCTGTGCGAGGCCTTGGAAGTACGCACGGCCCTGTACGCGCCCGAATGGCATCCACAAGGATGGTGTCCTGTTCCAGATATTTGCGCAGGGCCTTGCGTGTCTTTGGACTGGTGAGACATTCATACGACAAGTGGTTTTCCCGGTACAACACAGAGCTTGACGATGTCGCGGCCTTCAGGGCTTGCCAACCAATCATAGAAGTCGATGCACGTGCGGACAGAGGCATTACGAAGGGCTGGGTAGGAGCTCGAGAACTTCACGTTTTCCGGAGTTACACCAGCGGCGACTTGTTGCTCATGGCAACGGACAAGATGGTTAAGCCGAGATTGCCGTAGATGATGCTTTGCGACGCGTCGAATACCAACATCTTGAGGTTGGAGAATGCCCGTGCAGTTATTAGGGACGAAAATGAGGATAATGTTCGGATACTTGTCGAATACGAAGGTGTGGAAGACTGCTGAGGTGTGGACGGGGTAAATGTCGAAGTATGCGATGGATTTCTGGTCTTTCATGTGGCAACCCCTTTTATGTGGCTGCTTCATGAGTTTGAAAAAGATAGATTTCGGCGTGCCATTGGGCACGGAGATTCTGAGAAATGGGAAATGCCCGCACACATGTACGTTCCCAGTGACTATCGTAGACGCGACGCGGGATTCAAAAAAAGGCCCGGGGAAAAATGATGTAGGTCATAGTCCAGGGAAATTTACAGCTGATCCGGAAACTAATGAGAATCACGAGTTTTTTTTTCGCGCGTTCCCGATTTGGAAATTCCCAAAGGGGAACAGCCTGTCATGGCTCCGTCTTGACTCTTGACTTCCTCTTGCTTCTCCGCATCTCCACCACCTCACACCGAGCACTACAGTACATATGGTCAATCGTAGAATCAGCCCCGATATCAAGGAATGCGCGCTACGGTTGTGGGAGCTTGGATGGGACAGATCTGCTATTTGCTCGACCCTTCTTGTGTCGCAATCAAGCATATATCGCTGGGCCACCCTCTTTGACGAATTCGGCTCTGTAACTCCACCCCCTCCACCCATCACAGGCCGGTCTAGAATCATTGGTTTGGCGGCACTGACAGCAATCAAAGAGATATATACGAAGCACGCCGATACATACCCCCTCGAATTGCAGTGGTGGCTCCTCATACACCACGACATCTCCATCTCCATCTCCTCCCTCCAGGAGACCCTCGAACGAGCCGGACTTACCCGGAAACTGCTCCACAAGATCGCTGTCGAGCGCGACATCGAGGGTCGGCGCGATTACTTTCACACGATTCAAACTGGCTTCAGCGGCACTGGCCGTGAGTTTGTAACCATCGACGAGTCAAGCAAAAATGAACATGATGTCTGCCGGCGTTACGGACGCGCACCAATTGGATATCCCGCCGATTTCGAAGACGTCTTTATCAGAGGGGTACGGTATACCTTGGTGGCGGCTATGAGCATGGACGGGTATATTGCACAGCGCGTTGTTGAGGGCTCGTTGGATTCATTTGATTTCTTCGATTTCATAGTGGATGACGTTGTGAGTTTTCGGAGAATAACACTTCAATCACTGCTAATCATGCTCAGGTACCGGAAATGGGTGTTTTCCCTGATGACCGCAGTGTGCTCGTCATGGACAATTGCCGCATCCATCACACCAACACGCTGCAGGAGGTTTTGAATGCGCAAGGTCCGTGTTACACTCATAATTGTCGGAACCATATCTGATCTTCCGGGTAGGGATAATGCTTTTGTACCTGCCTCCTTATTCCCCGGACCTCAACCCAATCGAGGAGTCTTTCAGCACATGTACGTCGTCGCAATACATCATTCGCATCTACTGACTTTTTACAGGGAAAGCATACCTCCGTGCTAACGTCCATTCCATTCGCGCCGCTGCCGACCCCGTTCTCATACTCCTCGACTCGACGGGCTGCATTACACCCGAAAAGGCTAGAGCATGGTTTCACCATGCTGGCTATATTGTTCATGACGGAGAATAGCAACTTTTAGATGATCAAATAACAATTACATTTGTACTTCTGCGATGGTACGACGAGAACAATTTTGTAGCGAGATGTAACAGAAGACTTTTACGAATGAAAACGAAAATTATTCCCACAAACCGTTCTGAATATCGAGCAAGAACTGTTTGTGCTTCGATAAGACTTTATCCCACGCCAACTTTGAAAAACCCGCAAAAATCTGCCAATCATCACGTCCTAGGGTCTTGATCCCACCGTCGCCTGGCTCGTATTCGAGCTTCTGTAGTCGCTCAAAATGCTGCATTATATCGTAGTGGGCACAGAAATCCCCCAGCGAGACGGGACGATGCGTTGGTTTTGCAGGAGATTGGGGTGCGGAGGGAATAGGGCTCTGATGTGGGGGTGGATGGAACGGTGGTGGAGCCACGTTTGGGACGACAAGGTGTTGTTGTTGCTGCTGCTGTTGAAACATGAGAGAGAGTGTAAGCATTTCAAGGACTTTGTCGGTGTTCGAAGGGGCGGGATTCTGGGCAGGAATAGGTTGAGCAGCAGCAAGAATGGGTTGTACAACAGCAGCTTGGGTAGTCTTCACGCGATATTTGATGTCAAATTGGGCGGACACAGGGGCGGTGTCAATTGTAGCACTTCCGCGAGCCTGAGCAGCTTTCAATGCCGGTCCGAGGTTGAGCGATGAATCACGCACCATGTGAGCAGCCCATACATTCAGCCGGATCGGCGTCAGCTCCCACATGAAGCCCTTGGTGTCAGTGTAGATACGTTTTCCCGCGTCGTTCTCAGGCCATCTCTCCTTCAGCTCCTCGATGTGCGGCACGATGGCTTGATCAAATGACATCTGATTCCCGCGTCAATCTGAGCAAACACATACGAAAGATCGAGGATACGCACTTTCTGCTGTCCGACGCTGTCTTCCGTATTCGTCGCTTCTAATTCCGAAAAGTCGAATCCCTTTTGTGGTTCTCCTGCGGCGCTCGATGGTCCCGCTTCGGTTCCCCCACCCACACTATTACCGTCACCCGTCACGTCCCAAAACTGGTGGTGTATGTAAGAATTGTGTGGTTATTTCCCCAGAAAGATCTCATACCGGCGCATCCTCTGCTGGTTTTCGTGGGCCTGGCATACAAAGGATGACAGTCTTGTCCTTACATTCGGAGATCTGTTCCTGGAGGACCTCAAAGCTGACCGCACCACCAAGAGGCAGCATAGCCCGGTTCGCCGGTGTTTGTGGTTTCCATTCGGTCTTATCGAGGACAATATTGGCGGAAGGGCATGGAAGAGTTTGGGAAAGAATAGAGATGAAGTCATCGAAGCTGCAGTTGGAGGAAAACTTGAATGGGCCACGGGTGATATAGAGGGTCTCGGGATTGGCCTTCGGTTGTCGCGCGCGTGGGCGCGAAGGTGGCAAAGCTGGTGTAGGCTTGAGAACACGGATATACCCGGTGAGAGAGATGGTGTCCTCGTCGTCGTCCACGGCTTTAGCCTTCTTCTTTCCCTTCCTCGAGGGTGGCGCCAGGTCTTCGTCTGAATCTTCAGGCTTTTTGCGTTTCTTCTGAGTCCGGCTTTCCTTGGCCTTCTGGGTCTTCTGTTGTTTTTTCATGAGTTCTGGGCTCGCAACGAACCACTTTTGCACTGTAGGCAGAGATTGGATCGTTGGAGACTTTGCGAGTCGTTGCTGATTACTTACAGTGAGGCTTTTCCACGACCAACTGTTGTACGGCGTCCATCGGAGTCATATCGTCGTCGTCGTCGTCACTGACATCTATAGCATTGCCGTTGTTCTTGGGAGCCATTGGAGAGTCGGAGGAAGGGAGAAACAGCGAGAGGAACTGAAGCGAGTAAGAAGTGGACGCCGCCGGTTTCCCTTTGGGGAATTTCCAAATCGGGAACACGCGAAAAAAAACTCGTGATTCTCATTAGTTTCCGGATCAGCTGTAAGGAAGCGAGGTGTGAGATTTAAACAGTTCCTGATTAGGAAAGGCTCAAGTGAACTATTGAATTTAGACAGCGTGGACCAACTGTAAGGTTTATGCACTTGCTGGAATGCTTGTCTTACACAGTTGGAAAGTTATTTATATCGTAAAATTATAGACTATCGCCTCCCCCCTGATCAAAGATATACCCACCTTCAGTTACTACGCATCGGCCAAAGGATGCACTGCGTTCAAGGGGCTCCTGGACTCAGTTTGGCGAGGTGTGTGCTGGTCTGGCGAGCTGAGTGTAGTTTTCTGGGTTACGTC